CTGCTACGCGCGTGCATCAATTTCCCTAGATCAGTCTATCGCTGTCTATTACCATAAAATATTTAGGTCAGTCCCTGCTGCCTATCACAAAAAAAAAATCTTAGATCAGTCCCCGCTGTCTATTACCAAAAAATATTTAGGTCAGTCCCTGCAGCCTATCACAAAAAATCTTAGATTGGTCCTTGCCATCTATTTACCATAAAAAAAATCCTAGATCAGTCTACAGCTGTCTATCACAAAATACGTATATAGTTCATTTCAAGCTTGTTTCCTATTTTTTCTTTATTTATTTATTTTTATTCGAATATTTTCCCTAATATTTTACACCACCACCAAGATATAAAATAAACGCTGATTTAAAAAAAATCAACGTGAGACGTGCACTTCAAGCTATACAATTTTAATTATATCTATCTTTCAACTTAATTAATAAACTCACAACAACGCTGTCGCAACTGCTGTGTTCATTTTCCTTGTTCTGTCTGCTGGCCTGTATTGAATTCGTTCATTGATTCCGGAGTCGTCTGGTTGATCAGACCTTGACTGTTACCTCTGTGGAGCTGTCACCTGTCGACGTGGCATAGCCGCTGCGTCGGAACTGGATCTCCGAAGTTGAATGTCGCTGCCTTGACTGCTGGACTCGCCTTTGAAGGTTGAAATCCGCTGCCTTGACTGCTAGACTCGCCTTTGGAAATTTAAATCCACCGCTTTGACTGCTCCCCTCGTCTTAACTCCTTGAACCTCCTGTTTTCGACTGTGTTTTCGACCAGTGTAACGATCTTGGTGCTCGGTACCTACTATTATTGTGATAATAGTAGATAAATAGCTACCAGTACGTTAAAGTGCAGGTCGCAGACACTTCTTCAGATGATATAGTCGTGGTTAATAATGAATAATATAACAGTAAGTTGTTGTACATTGTGAATTTTATTATAACGCTCGATAATTTTTCTAAGTCCAAAATAATATTGTACAAAGTGGCGTGAAGGTGCTTGCACTAATGGGTGGTAGTACACGTCTGAAAACAGGCCGATTCGGGCTCCTTTTTTTATGAAGTTCCCCGTACCCCTTGCCTATGGATACTGTATCTCGGCTCACGGATGTGATTTGTGTGGTCATCGTTCCAGCCCACGCATTTTATGACTTCCCAATATAATTCTGCGTATTACTAAAATGTTAATCTATGGTCTATTTCATTAAAATAATTATTCTACTCTTTTATATTTTATATTTGAATATCGTCGTATACAGTGCTTCCTGAGTCATTATATTATTCAGTGTGCCTGTGGAATTGATTTTATTGTTAGGTAGTAACTTGCTTACTACAGTATAATTAAATACAAAACAAACTTAATAAAAACAAATTATTGAGAATAAAAGTTATAAAACACAATATTTAATTCAAATTAAAACTAAAAAATAATTTAAAGAATAAAATAATAAACACATCATTACTCAGAAGAAAATTTAGAATAATTTTGAAAACGGTACCATCGAATAGCACTAATTCAGCACTAAATTTTGGTGCTATAGCGGATTTTGGTGCTGGCGTTTAACCCGCTACGTGAAGTTAGCGGAGAAAGGTTAGCCCCCTTTAACTTTTTACTGGGTATAGCACTAATTTTTAAAACTCAACGGTTGTATAGCATTAATTGAGCACTAAATAGTGGTGGTATAGCGGAAATTAGTGCTCACATTTTTGCGCTAACTTTACGGACCTAAATAAAAACTATAATTTTATTCTTCAAGTAATACAGCTTATTGAAGTGTTTCACAATAAAAATACCTATTATGAAAATTGTAGAGGAGAAATTCTTTAACAATCTTAATGAATCCGATTTTTGATATCGTATTCCAATCGTTCAATATCGCATGGTAAATGAAAAATTTTTATTTTTACTTTTTATCAATTAATTATTTAATTAATTAATAAAAATATCGAAAATCGGGCTTCTTACGATTGTTAAAAAAAGTCTACTCTAGTTTTCTGCAGGGGCGTCATTTGGGGGGGGGGGGGTGTTCGACGGCACCACCAACATAATACAGTAAATAATTGGCCCACCATTAATGTTCCAATGCGCCGATATGATTACTATTAAAAAATTAATAAAATATGCATGCATGTAGGTAATATATATTTATCAGTTTTGTCATCAAATTTATCCCTATTTTATAACCGTGTAAAGAGTGTTTCATAATATAAGAATATAGTATCAGCTATAGTGGTTCAAGCATAGCATACATAATATTTTAAAACCCGTAGATATCCACTGATTTAAATTTAAAAATAATAAATAATTTTTCATTTTGCATAAATATTGAATAGTGATTAGTTTTTTAAATATATTTATTAAAAAAAAATCCTTTATACAATTATACCGCATTCGCTTTTTATTTCTCCAAATAGTAGTAAAATGGCTTCTGTTGGCCGCTAGTTGCCAATTGTTTTAGTTGCTTATAAAGTTATAAACGTTTAATACATTGAACTGCTAAATATTTGAAAAATTACAATATACATTAGTTGATATAAGTAATTTTAATAAGGATTATAAAACGGAAGGAGATAATATTAACATACTTTAAACATCAAGGTTATTATTTAAATATTAAATTTTAAAATTGGCCTCGTTAAATGTTAAAACTGGCCTGCCTAAAATCTTGCACACCCGGACAAAAAAATGAAATGACGCCCCTGGTTCTCTATAACTTTTATAATTGGTAGTTTTTCTGTAAACCATTTTAAAAAGCCGCATTACTTGAATTATCGAACTATTTGGTTTTGATGAAAAAAAAAAAAACACTCAAAAAACCATTTATAACAGAAATCATTCAATGTAGACAATCTGAGCCGTAACCAGGAAAGTGGTACATAATACATATACATTGAATATAATGAATCATATAAATTACAAATGGAATTGAGTGAGTACATATTTTATGTCCATAAACAATTGTAGAGAGAATATAATAACTACAATTCGCCTTCTACTTCAACTTTAGCACCTGCAGTACAATATATGATTGAAGATAGTGAAAATTTGTAAGTTTAAAAAAATAGTCTTAGTATTAAAATAAAATAAAAATACCTATATATTTTATGTTCATAAACAATGTTAGTGAAAATGATAACTGCAATTTTCCATCTACTCCAACTTGAATACTTGCAGGTTAGGTTAGGCATGCACTACAATTCATGGGAGTAGCAGATAGTGAAATCTCTTAAGTTAGATAAATTAGTATCTTTATTTTAAATTACAATAAGGAATATAAAACTTTCCCAGTGAGTGTAACACAACACCAATTGAATAAACTTCCAATTTTTTTTAGTGGGATCAACGATCTGGAGATTTCAGATATAGCATCACATTATATCAACTCGAAATCACGATAGAAAGTATCAAAAGTTAAAACTTTATCTATATACACAGTTATTTCTAATAATTATTTCTTTATTGTTGAGTTTAGGATTATGTTTGTAGATCGATCTGGACAAAAATGACTACACTGTTTTTAGCAATAAGAAATATTTACTAAACACATGACTTACACATAAGTAATATTATAATGTAGTAAAGACAGTATGCTAAAAGTCGGCCTTATATACAAGTGACCTATTGACCTAAGCCTCACGCCACTATTCAACAATATCCGATTCACTAATAACTATAGGGCGTGATTTTGCACATTATTAATAGCAACGATGTTGTTTTTTGCACAATATGATGATACTTTATACAATATTAAATTATATTCAACATTTATATTATGACTAAAAAAAAGTTGACTTATTTAATTTGTTTACCTACTCATTGTTTTATATTTATATACGTAGGTATAATTGGCACCTACACAATATTAACAAATTGTAAATACCGATCTATACGGTAGATCATACCGATCTACCGATATCGATTTTAATATTTATTTATTTCATTAGGTAATAAACAAACAATTTTTGTTCTTTAAAAATAAAATAATTTAATGTATACATTATGTTTTAAACAAATCATTTTTTTATGTTAGTTCAAATTCTTTGTTTCTTTTTTTGCAAATTGTGTCCTTAGTTATGTCAATCATGTTTAACAGTATGTTTGTTGTCCAAGTTTGTGGATTGATACTGTAATGTGTTACATATTAATATATTATAGTGTGCCCATTTCATTGGGTATAGCTGCGTTTTGAAAATGTGTAAATTCTGGTGCTCTTATTATGAAGAATCCACAGTAGTGGTATGTGAAAGCTGACATTCTGAGGCCAATATGTTCATTGTTAGGTGAGTAAAAATCTCGTGAGATATTTCTTATCCATTCTTTTTTAGGGGTGAGCTGGTCTAATATACTACAGGAGTATTCCTGAATTTGTTTTATAATATTAGTGTCTCGTATGTTGGTGGAAAAAGGAATCCTCTGGTGATATACTTTATAATGAAATATATGAAGTATTTCAAGAAACTTGAGTGGTTTAATTTAGTTTGGCTCCCGGCACCTTTAGTTAAATCTTTCATTGTGGCTATGAATTTATTAGTGAGTTTGATTTGTGTATTAACTATAACTATTGTCAAAATTATGATTTAGATGGACTGATTTAGTAATACTATAAATTGTATTTTCTGGCTGCTTCTCAGGTCTTCGAGTTTGTTTTGTATGACATTCATTTAGGATGTATTTAATGATTTTATTGATTCGTGTTTTTGAATTGATTTTTGTTATGATTTTATTTCTGCTTTATTGATTTATTTAAAATATTTATAGTCCTTAAGAATTGAAATATTACGAGCTGATTTTTATTCGAGAAGGAAATGTAATAATTTATCAGAATTTATAAAAATTCTAGCAATAAGAGTTGAAATGAAGGTGCAATTATAAATTTTCCATTGGTGTGTTTTAAGTATTTTATGATAATGAGCGAGGGGTTACATAGTGTGCATGGACGTGCATCTATGCTGTAATTCACATGTTATCGTTGGTTTTTAGTAATATTTGCATGAACCATGTGTTTCGTTAGGTTATGTGTTCATGTGTGCTATTTGTATTTCTGATTGGTATTTCGGCTTTGTTGTTTATATAATTAAACAGGCATTTGGTATAATGTATTTCTGTCACTGGGTCATGTGAGTAAGTATTGCTGTGTGTTTGTTTACATGTTAGGTTGTGGGTGTCTATTAAGTCTACGAGTCTTCCGTTTTTGTGTACTTGTCCTAGTTCTGCTTGTTTTATTATTTTTTTGGTTTGTAGGATGGTAATTTGAAAGTAAAAACTTCCGTTGTTATGTAAGTCATAGCTTCTGATACTTAAAATGGTGTGTTGTACGTTTAGTCTGTTTATGATTTCTTTATACGTTTGTCCGTTCCGAATAATGATAATTGTAGTTTTGTTCCCATGTTGTAAGTAGTTTTGTATGAAGTTGCCTTGTAAGTTGGTGAATTTGTTTAGAAAGATTTCATGGAGTTCGTTCAGAATTGGAGTTAGTTTTTTTTCTTTGTCTTTAAACATTTTTAATAAGCTAGTTAGATAGTTTTAGTATGTGAAAGCTGACATTTTGCAGCCAACATGTTCATTGTTAAGATTGTCTAGATATTATTTTAAGTTATCTTTTTCTAACTCTGTGTGTATGTATGTATGTATGTATGTATATATTGATTTACGTATGTATGAATGTATGTAAACTATATAATGCCCCAGGTTTAGACAACATCCAAGCAGAGTTAATTAAGTATAGTGAGAAAGAAATACGATATTTCATATTTAAAGTTTGTCAGATGACGTAGCGTGAAGAACAGATACCCAGAAGTTGGAAGGAGGCCATAATCATACCTTCACATAAGAATTGTGACAAAACATATTCTAATTATAGAGGTATATCCCTGTTATATACGGCATTCAACTTCTAAGATTTTTTCAAAGATGTTTCTGATTCGATTATCGCCATACGCAGAAGAATGTCTAGTAGAGTATAAATGTGTGTTCCGCAAAGGAAAGTCGATAGTGGAACAGCTCTCAATAATTGGTCAAATCATTGAGAAATTTATGAATATCGTCAGAATTTTTGGCATATATTCGTGGATTTTAGAAAAACGTATGACAGTATCCATAGAGAGAGTCTGTACAATATTACGGAAGATTTCGGAATACCTAAGAAGCTTATATCACTCACCAAAATGTGCTTGAAGGGACAAAATACCAAGCAACGTTAGAATACATACTATCTGACGCCTTCACTGCAGAGACTGGCTTTAAGAAACTATCCCCGCTACTGTTTAACTTAGCACTTTAAAAGGCTGTAAGAATGATGCAAAGTGGGATTTCGATCAATGAACAGCGAGAGCAGATTTTAGGTTTTGGGGATGATGATTTGAACATCCTTGGTGAATCACTGGAGGGTGCTTTAATATCTAACAATGGCTCTCGAAAACAGCAAATGTATGGTTGCATATTATTGGGGAAAAAACAAAAAATGTTGGGGATTCTTGACAGTAACCCACTTAACAAAAAGTGGAAGAATTAAAATATTTAGGAAAAACTTAGTTCAAAAAATGATTGTCCACAGGATATTGTGAGGATAGCAAAGGCAGAAAGAGACTCTTTTACATTATCAAAATTATTCAAGTCTAAAGAGCTGTTAACCAAATTAAGGTTATACACGGCAATAATAAGGCCTACTCTCACTTATGGTTGTGAAGTATGGACAACAACAAGTGTGACAAAAAGAAAACTTTGGTACTTCGAAAACAAAATATGGAAAATGTTATGTGGACGCAAGAACAAATGAGTGGAGAAGAAAGTTCAAAAAGGAACTACAGGAAGAACTGGACTGAGCTCCAATCACCAGCTACATAAAAGGACAAAGATTACAGTGGTTTGGATATTTTATGAGAAAAAGCGAAAAAGAAACTGTAACGGGGTTGGGGAACCTGTTATATTTAAATAATTCAGTGAGGGTTTTCAGAGCCCTGTGAATTATATTTTAACCGTAACTGTGGAGATTCAGGAAAGATAGATCAAATATTAAGTTCTAGTTGATATGTTTTTATTATTACACAATACATATTAAATACATAAACAATAATCATTAAATACATACACATTACACAATGCTTATTACATCCTTAATACTAATTCACTACAGAAATATCGAAAGACTTACTCACAGTATCGTCCTCCGGAGTTCGCTGGCTAGCGGGTTCCTGTACCGGTCCCATAACTAACTATATTACCATTGTGTGTCTCTTTTATATGTTACAGTTCTGTGTGTATATATGTGTACCCTGATTACTATACTGTTAATACAAGCCGTCTTCCTTATTATTATCTATATCTATATTTGCTTATTATTTATACTTAACCGTATACCATGTAACGGTGTCACACATATGTGATCCGCTACAAAACCATCAGGGCAGTGATAGAATGGAAACCAGAAAGGAAGAGACCTCGAGGCAGACCAAGAGATTCAAGGAGAAATAAAATAAATTGTAACTACAGAAATTAAAAACAATAACCAATAAATCTACTTAAAACCTTCACCTAATATTTATATAATCATTTTCCGATAACTATATTAATTTATGTTTAGTACCGTGTTAGGTAAGTCAACAACTAAAATTATAAAATATTTATATGTTTTGTGATTTAGAAAATATTGTATGTGCATTTTACATGTCTTAACTCTCTGTTATATTATAGCAATACATGTATTAATATTTAATTTATTTTAGTAATTAGACATGTAATTGTTAATATTTTAATTATTGCTATTCTGGTATTCTGTTGTAATTAATGCTGATTATACATCGTAAATATTTATTGCTTACTATTCATCAAATATTTATTTGAATTGATGAAATGCTTCATATTTTACGTAAGAGCCAAATTTTAGGCAGGTACCTTCCTATTAATTACCTAAATGTTATGTATTTACAAAAGTTTGATTGTAATGAATCTGGAGTTTAGTTTAAACACAATTGTACATAACATTCAAAAACGTTTAATCAGAAACGAAAAGATTCATAAATAAAACACATATTATTAAGAATTTAAATGAGAGAAGGCTTTTAAACAATAAAATATTTTTATACCTGTATAGATTGGAAGGAGTATAGGTATGATGTCCAAGTACATATTAAGTTAATATCAGCTAAGAAATAATTTAATAATAATCCTTTATTAATCAACATATATCTACATGCTTTTATATAATAATATATAACACTGTGAGATAATTTAAATCCAAGTTAATTAGAAGTAAAAAGTATAGAAATAATAATATGTAGTCAACCCATGCATGTTGATTTACAGGCTATAAGAAATAAGTTTATTATTAGGTCAATTACTTTGAGTAAACTAATATTTAATACATGTTTAAAAAATTGTTTACCATTAATTCAAGAATAAAAAACTTTTTAACCAATATTATATTTAAAAAATGTACAATCTGTATTACATGACACAATAAGTAAAATAAATGGCTAACATAACACTATATACATACATAAAAAATAACACATGAAACACATGAGGGAAATCATCGATCGATGGTACCCGCTAGGATATAATAGTAAAAAATTAAACTAGTAGATCAAAATTATCGTATATCAGAAATGATGGGCCATTATATGGCTTTTTAAATTAGTTATCGTTTCAAAATTATTATCACAAATATCACATTTATGCAACTTTACAAAGATATGAGTCTTTTTATGCCTTATTAAATTTCGTTTGTAAGAAAAACTTTTTGTACAGCTATCACATTGGAAAGGCTTTTTTCTGTTATGCGTAATTAAATGGTTTTTCAAACTTGTTTGGTGAGAAAAGCATGTACAACAGATATCACATTTGTATGGCTTTTCGCCGGAATGTATCCTTAAATGTACTATCAAATGATTTTTTTGAGAAAAAGCGTGACCACAGGTATCACATACATACGGCTTTTCTAAGAAATGTGTCCTTTTATGCAAACTTAAACTTGATGGAGAAAGAAACCGTTTATCACAAATTTTACATATAAATGGCCTTTCACCCGTGTGTGACCTTAAATGAATTATTAAACTTGATTCACAATTTAAGCCTTTATTACAGATTTTACATTTATATGGCGATTCGCTGGTATGTGTCCATGAATGAGTCGTTAAAATTGATTTCCGAGAAAAGGCTTTATCGCAGATTTCACATATGTGTTTCCGTTTTCCGGCATGTGTCCTTAAATGAGTCGCTAAATTTCGTTTGTGAGAAAAACTTTTTGTACAGCTATCACATTGGAAAGGCTTTTTTCTGTTATGCGTACTTAAATGGTTTTTCAAACTTGTTTGGTGAGAAAAGCATGTACAACAGATATCACATTTGTATGGCTTTTCGCCGGAATGTATCCTTAAATGTACTATCAAATGATTTTTTTGAGAAGAAGCGTGACCACAGGTATCACATACATACGGCTTTTCTAAGAAATGTGTCCTTTTATGCAAACTTAAACTTGATGGAGAAGGAAACCGTTTATCTAAGGAATAACTTTTTTGCAACTTTACAAAGATATGAGTCTTATTATGCCTTATTAAATTTCGTTTGTGAGAAAAACTTTTTGTACAGCTATCACATTGGAAAGGCTTTTTTCTGTTATGCGTACTTAAATGGTTTTTCAAAGTTGTTTGGTGAGAAAAGCATGTACAACAGATATCACATTTGTATGGCTTTTCGCCGGAATGTATCCTTAAATGTACTATCAAATGATTTTTTTGAGAAAAAGCGTGACCACAGGTATCACATACATACGGCTTTTCTAAGAAATGTGTCCTTTTATGCAAACTTAAACTTGATGGAGAAGGAAACCGTTTATCGCAAATTTTACATATACATGGCCTTTCACCCGTGTGTGACCTTAAATGAATTATTAAACTTGATTCACAATTGAAGAATTTATTACAGGTTTCACATTTATATGGCGATTCGCTGGCATGTGTCCATGAATGAGTCGTTAAAATTGATTTCCGAGAAAAGGCTTTATCGCAGATTTCACATATGTGTTTCCGTTTTCCGGCATGTGTCCTTAAATGAGTCGTTAAATTTGATTTCCGAGAAAAGTCTTTATCGCAGATTTCACATATATATGGCTGTTTTCCGGTATGTGGCTTTGTAAAGCTGTTTGATGTAAAATCCGAATTCATACGATTTTTGAGTTTTTTACTTTTTTTGACGATAACTGTGCCTTTAAATTCATTTAAGTCAATCACATCTGTTTCCTCTTTTATGTTATCACTGTTATTATCTTCAGTAGTAAAGCTGTTTGATGTAAAATCCGGATTCATACGATTTTTGGGTTCTAAGTAATTATTTTGGTTCATAATTACTGATCCTTTAAATGCAATTGAGTCAGTCACATCCGTTTCCAATTTTATGTCAGTACTTTTATCTTCAGTTTTAATTCTAAAAAAATAATATAAGTTATTTTAAAAATGTATTTACGTTTATCAAATAAAGGAAAATAAATAAAACTACATAATATTATGTATCCAGCTTGTTATAATAATGTTTTTCAAAATATTATACAAAACTTACACATGGAAAAAAACTTTATAAATCTATCTAATATGTTAAAATATATTAAATTCATTATTTTATAATATAAATTATAATATTTATAGAATTTTTTTTTTTGTATATTTCTAAGTGATAAGTAGTCAAATTAATGTTCATTTTTTTTTTGGTGTCAAATTCAATGTTATACTTATTTGTTACTTTTGAGATGTAACAATTGAAAGTTTCCTATAGTTCGGAAAGACCACCAAAAAAATTCAGGGAACCAGGAATATTTACAATAAAACCAGCTTTCACCAAAATTAATTTCGTAATTTTGTAATATTAACTAGTATTAGTTTATATTAGTAATACCTTAGCATTAAAAATATTATAAATATTTTAGAGGTATTTATTATAATAGGCATATCATTTTTTTTATTAGTTTTTATACTTTTTGTCAATAAAAAAATTAGCTAAGTATAAATAAAACTTGAGAATTTATTATAAAGCAGCTTACAAGTGATTATTATTGAAAATCATAAAACAAATTAAGGGTAAAATTAAAATAACTATTTTATCGTGACCCGTCATTTGGTCCGGTAAATTATATCCGGCGACAATTGATCCACGACATTTGATCCGGTTCAAAAAGAACTTGTACCAAAAATATCCTGCTAAAAAATGTCCGGTAACAAAAAAATATAAAATATAAATATATAGTTTTTTTTAATTAGTTGTTATTTTATTTTCATAATTTTTAAAAACGTCATTATAAAAAAAATATAGAATATAAATATATAAAAATTAGTTATAAAAATAAATATGAAATAAATATATAGAAATTAGTTAGTTAGTTAAAAATGTATAGTATAGTATAGTATTTTAGAAAAATAATCAATAATAGTCCCTATATATTATATATATATAAATAAATTTATATATAATCTACCTTATATACAGAAAACGGTCAGAAAAACCACAAATTAACGAATCTAATCAGTTCTCAACGATTTATCAGATATAAATTATTATTATGTTGGAAAAAAATATATAAAAACATAGACCAACGTCTTAAAAATACAGTAGAAAACTATGAAACTTCAAATATCATTACGTATTTGAAGGGTATCGCTCATAATTTTAATTTATAAACATTTGTATTCCATATTATCACTTTTATTATCATAAATATTATAAATTTATTACGTATTTGAAGGCTATCGCTCATAATTTTAATTTATAAACATTTGTATTCTATATTATTACTTTTATTATGACGTTTTTGAAAATTATGAAAATAAAATAACTAATTTTTATATATTTATATTTTATATTTTTTTGTTTTTCCGGACATATTTTTGTTGTTACCCATTTTTTATATGCCTATTTATATTTTATATTACTTTTAAAATGACGTTTTTGAAAATTATGAAAATAAAATAACAACTAATTAAAAAAAAAACTATATATTTATATTTTATATTTTTTTGTTACCGGACATTTTTTAGCAGGATATTTTTGGTACAAGTTCTTTTTGAACCGGATCAAATGTCGTGGATCAATTGTCGCCGGATATAATTTACCGGACCAAATGACGTGGAACCTAATTTTAAGGTTTAACCATAGATATACATAACAAATCTTTCATAGAATTGTCAAAATTTAATTTTCTGAGGGATAAATTTTATATTTTTTAAGTGATTAATACAGAGTGTAGGTTTTATGAGAACATTTATGTTGTAAGAGAAATAAACGGATTTGAAAGGGGTTTTACTGACGGAGTATGCATGCTTGATTAAAACTTTATTACGACAAAAGGTCATTAATGTACATTTGGAAATATGAAGAGTGAGACCCAAACATTCACCCCATTTCGAAAAACGCTAGAGATCGTATTGGAGAAGATGACAGCCACACATGGATTTGATAAGGTAGAATATTTTCATATCATTAGCAAAGATAAGGAGCTTGGCATGCTGGAGAACGGAAGGTGCTGAGTTGACATATAAGGCAAACAAAAGTGGGGATATAACTGCACCTTGTGATACATTTGAGGAAGTAGTTAAATAGCCTGAAGAGGTGGAAGCAACATTTACCAATTGGGTCTTTTGTATAATGTATGATTTAAGCCAGGAAAGTAGAGGTTCGCTGATCCCTATACAGTCAAAAGTTGACATAAGATGAATATGATCAACACGGTCCAAAGCCATTGAAAAATCGGTGTAGATTTCATCTACTTGGCAGTTATCACGAAAAAAGTCGAATATGTATGAGTGAAAGCCATGTTATTCATCAGCTGGAATGTAATTTAATGAAGGAAGAATTGAATTGAGGACGAGAATTTCAAATAGTTTAGATAAATTAGGTAGAATTGTTATTGGACGATAATTTGTGACATCAGTAGAATCGTAAGACATCAATATTCGATAGATTGAGATAAATTTAAGGGCAGACGGGAAAATACCTGAATCAAGTGAACGTTTAAACAATAACCATAACTGTTCCGCTAGAACAGATCGGAGCTTAAACAAAAAATCACCTTGGATACCACCTGAGCCAACAGACTTTATATTTCGAAAAGAACCTAAACATTGGTTGACATCGTTAATCGAAAAATGGGCACTAGATGGGAGTTGTAAGTGGTAGGTGGGATTTGCTGACTGGGATGAGGTCAAAAACTGACTGTTAGAGGGTTGGGTGTACCTTAGCTCTGTACTCCATCGAGTGTAACACTTGGTGGTAAAGAAGCGGTATAGCAGTTTTATTTAATGAAACTACAGGAATCGAGCTTTAAATGCTTATAAAAAAATTGTGCTTATGTATTTTTAATACTTTTTAACTACTATTGTAACAATATATCAGGAGCCTTGTATTCATTTTTCACGCTTTTTGACCCAACAAATACAATTTTGGCACAACAAATTTATTTTATATATTTATAGAAAATAAACTAAAATATTGAAACTTTCATATTATGTTTTTAATACCTAGCTCTAAACGAGTCAAAATATTTTGAAAATTTCATCGTGAAAATTGGTAAAAAACAAAATTTAGGGAAAATTTCATATAGTATCAGTAATTTGTTTTTTAATTACCACAAAATAAGAAAATACACTGCCGAAAAAAATTAAACTTAAAAGTTAAAACGCTCATAAATAGTTAATTTGACTTTCTCGTAAACTTATTTTTTTGTTGAAGCTCAGAAAACCTATTGGAAATATTGTATTCAGTTTTCTAATCTTAGATATAAATAGAAATGAATTTCCAACTTAAAATAATTTGCAATTGTTCATGTTTTTTCAAAATTCTTACTACACAGAATAGATGCTTGTAAACAAATTTTTTTTTTATTTATTTTTAACAAGATATATACAATCTGTACCCTTAGGCACAATAAAAATATGTGATAAAATATTTTGTACATGAAAACGTGAGAGAAGAAGCCAACCAGTGAAGGCACTACCTTTAATGTTTATTTATATATATATATTTTTTTTTTAAAATTATTTGGATTATTCATTTAGTAAATCACGACACCAATTTCTTTTTAGTCGTCGAGTGGGGTTGCCTGGAATTGTGCGAGAAGCTAAATTGGATATAAGGGGATTAGGATGATATGGAAGTCTGTTATGGAATCTTTTGTAATATTATGTTATTGCTTCAGCGTGAACTGTTTTTATGTTTAGATCTGTGTGCAGAGAGTAGTTGGAGACATATGGTGGGGCATTAGTGATTAATCTTAAAATTTTATTTTGAACGGTTTGGATTTTATTTACATTAGTTATTTTTGCACTGCCCCATAGTTGTAGGCCATAAGTCCACATGGGCTTGATTAATGATTTATATATAAGGAGTTTGGTGTTTAGTTTAGTGTGCTTGTTAGATATAAGTGGCTTAACTGAGCGTAGTCGTTTGTTTAGGGCGAGTTTTTTAGTTTTGATATGAGGTCCCCAGGGACATTAGAGCATAGTCGGACATAAAGAACGGAAATGGGTTGGGGTTTTCTCCTTCATACCTAAGGAGACAGGCTCACTGAATAGCTCGGGATGAAGGGTTCAAGAATAGGCATATATAATATTTTACAGAAACACTGTACACGACGATATTCAAATAAAAAAAGAGTAAAATGATTATTTTAACAATAATCATAGTTTAGTGATACATTCAATCGTAAATGCGTGGGCTGAAATAATAACCACACAAAATCACATCCGTGAGAGCCAAGATACAGTATCTATAGGCGAGAGGCACGGGGAACTTCATATATAAGGGAGTCCGAATCGGCCTGTTTTCAGACGTGTACTACCACCCATGACCCATTAGTGCAAGCACCTTCACGCCACTTCGTACAATATTATTTTGGACTTAGAAAAAATTATCGAGCGTTAAAATAAAATTCACAATATACAACAACTGTCTTATTATTCATTCATCAACCACGACTTCAACATCAGATAAAGTGTCTGCGCCCTGTACATTAACGTGTTGGTAGCTATTTATCTACTGTTATCACAACAATAGTAGGTACCGAGCACCAAGATCGTTACAATGTTGTAATAATATAAACTTCAAACGCTTTTAAAAATCGAATTTGACTTTCTTGTAGATATTTAATTTTTGATAAATGTAGACAAATTTATGAGGAATCTTATAATCTTGTATAATAATATTAAATTTATGTTGTATGAATAAATATATAAATTAAAACATCAATAACAAAAATTCATTTCCATACCGTCTCCTCCAAAGCCAAGATCAGACATTAAAGTTTGACCGGACCTCGAAAGATATGATTAGCCACTTTATACAGTAACAACCAAAAAAATGAGTCTACTCGTATAATTAAAATATGTGTGTCATTAGCATACAACACAGAGACTAAAAACACACAGTTTTAACTACTACACGGATATAATCCAATATCTATATTTGACCACAACTTAATAAGTACAGAAACATCCACCAGAAAATTTTACTGGAATTAGAAAAATTAAAAAATATTCGAGATGAACTCCAAAAAATTCTTAGCGGACAGGTAATTACAAAATAAAATATTATGAGTCAAATAAGGTACATGTAAATTATAAATTAAACGAAAAATCACCAACTAAAGACAAAAATAGAAAAATCAAAATTTGATTACAGGTTTTCACTTTACAATTAAACATTTTAAGAAATCTGCAGGTCCGTTACATTAGCACCACAATATTCAATATTCCCAAAAAAAAAAAAATATACCAACGATTGTTATTTCATTTGTACACATTTGTAATCCTAATATAAACATTTGTACACCTCCCCAAATGCCCCAAAAAACCAAATTTCCGTGGTGTTGCTAATGGAACGTTACACCAGCACCCCACTTTTTGTACATTCGACTTAGGGGCTCCAAAATGGTACCAACTGTAGCTTCTTAGTTGCATTCAGTCATGAAACGTGTTCAGAGGGCAATCACGGGGAGGTTTCACTAGTTCCCGAATTTGTGATATTCCGGGTTTTTAGTGATAAGTTTTTGCCACACAGACAAATATATTTTATAATAAATATTTATATATTTAAATAAATTATTTAATTTATAATACCTAAATTATTAAATGTATGTATCTAATAAATATTTAAGATTCGAATTAAGATTTACTAATTCGAAGAAAAAAAAGCCTAGTTGAATAAAACCGATATTTCATAATTAAACGAATATGAATAAAAATCCGTTTGAAAAAACAATATTTAATAAGAAAAAAATTCGAATAAAAAATGTAATTTTAATAAAAATATAATTAGAATAAAGAAAGCCGAGTTAAATACAAAAACCCCTTATTTTAAAAAGAAATGTTATTTAGATAGTCATGTTAGATTTTTTATTCAATTTAGCTTTTCATTAAATATTGCGTGATTATTGTCTTCAACTACAAAATTTGTTTTATTCTAATAAGATTTTTTATTCAAATTGCATTTTTTATTAAATATAGATGTTTGTCTTCAATCAGGCTTATTTATTCAAATAAGTTTTTTAGTTAGTTCAAATAGATTTTTTTCATAAATATTTATTATAGATTTTTGTCAGAGAGCCTTTCTCCTGGGTAAAAATGTTCATAGGTGTTAAAGTATGCAGTTGCAAATTTCCAATAGTACATATGTCATAACAGTTGCAAATTAGTTGCAAATTATTGATATTGGTTTGGAGTGGAACCAGTGGCGTATTTACGATTTTGGCGCCCTGGGTACACACATTTTGGCACCCCTTTTTTTCTCAGTTTCCATTCACTCATTGTCACAAAAAACTCAAATTTACAATTTACTTTTTACTTTATCTCTCAGTTAATAGTGCAGGGCTTGAATCTGGTATAAACCATTATAAAACCGAAACCGAAAACAAAATCAAATCCAAAACTGAAAAAAAATTGGAAACCGGTATTAAATTCAATACCGACTCGACAAAAATTTGATACCTGTATAATAATTAAAAACCGAAATATAATTTAAAAAACGGTATTTTTATGAAAATCGTTGTATCTTGACATTTACTTTACACAATAGACGATCGGATGCTCGATTCAGCGATTCAAAAAAATTAATAAACTAAGAATGAACGTAAATAGTCCTGATCTTGAAACCGGTATAAACCATTTAAAAACTGAAACCGATAACAAAATCCAAAACCAAAACCGAAAATAATTGGAAACCGGTGTACAAATCGAAACCAAAACAGAAATTTTTTCAATCGGTTTCAAGCCATGTAAAAGTGATAATTGCTAACCCAAAATGTATATTTTCCCCTTATTGCATTTATGCTTCCACTAATTTAGAGAACACTTTTATTTTACCATTAATACTCCAATTATTCCTAATTAAATAAACAATATATAATTTTGATTTTAGCCTTTTAGCCTTTTTTAAGACAATTTATTAAAATACTTTATATATATATATATATATTACATAGAAATATGTATAGAAATGTAAAAGACATTATAAGAAACATTATAATACAGGTACATATTCACTTATCAGTTATCACTAATATAATTTCTCAACAAATTAAATAAAATAAAAAAATAATTTTAATATAATATATAATATATAATATGAGCATTTAAATTAAATGTTGACAATTTTTGATAATAATAAAAAAATATTACGGATTTCAGTACTTACTAGTAGACTTTTTTATTTATATAAGGTTAGACTCTTAATTTATTAAATGAGTTTT